GTACAGCCGCTCGCCTCCCGCCGCTCAGGCCACGCCTTTTTGTTTTATCATACTTACTGGGGCTGGAGAGAGGAGGGAGGGGAGGGGTCACTTCCTGTTCATACGTGTGGACGTAAAGCGCGAGAGCGGACAGTTCAAGGCGGAGCTGCTGGTTTCCTGAAAGCTTTTTAGACTGCAGTTACACCTACTGAACACCGGGGGCAGGGGGGAGGTCTGAGTGTTGTCATGGAGATCGATCACAGGGGTTTGTTGTGTTTTTTTTAATGAAAGTTGAAGGATTTTTATTGGTTTTTGCTGAGATTTCCACTTCCTGTGACCCGCAGGAATAAAAGCTGCTCGTAGTTTAAAAAGGTTTAAAACTGCGCTCTACATAATGACCACCAGGAGGCGACACCTGCAGACACCAATAAAACGTTCTTCTTTCCTCATTAAACACCTTCAGATGGAGGCGTGGCAGCGAGAAAATGGGTGACATCACACCGGCTACGTTTGCTTCTGGCTCGTGGCGCTGTGACATCACACTCACAAAAATGTGTCTTTCTAAAAGAACTGTAAAAATGGAAGTGAATCTACCGTCTCGAGGATTTCTGCCTAAAACCAGACGAGTGCTTTTCAGCTCCACAGTCTCATTTATTCTGGAAGAGCTCGAGAGCGCCCCCTGTGAGACAGGAAGTCCATGGGTTTGTTGCGTTAATGCTGTCTGTTAAAAACAAATCCTTCTGGGGCTGAAACAGAGTGGATCTCGTGAACACGATTATTTAACATTAACTCGACATGTTTCCAAACAGCTGGACTGGATTCTGCGTTTTGCTGTAGCTCAACTGAACCTGAGCTTACAGCAGCTGGATTTAACCAAAGACAAAACGAGAGTTCAGCACACGGCAATCATCGCGCTTCCATAATCGAAATTCTGATTTTATTCATTTGTGTTCACTGCACTGTTTTCTCAAGGCTGTGCGATTACGCCACCAAGCTCAGAGTCCAGCTGTGGGTCAAACAGCTGGATTCAGTTTCACTCTCTGATACGTTTATTTTAGCGTCCGTCGTGAGGTCGAGGGCCGTTTGGAAGCTCGGAGTCTTTTACTCACTTTGAACCGTTTGACACATTTTTTTCCCTGCACTGAAAACGAAACGACGCCTAAAAGGAGAAATAAGGGAAGCAGCCGTCATTCCTGCTGATGTTCCTGAGTGTTTCCTCCAACCTCCTCCTTCAGGAAGTCTCTGATCTATAAATCTGTAGGAGCTCGAGCAAAGGAAGCAAACGTTTTAAAATACTGACAGTTAATTAACCTTTAATATTTAACAGTGAGAGGATAATTAACGATGTGTAGTGATCGGCTGTGTGTAGACCGACGTTCTTACACAATGACACGGCGGCACCGTTAACCTTTGTTATATGACGCTAACTTTTTAACGGTTCGTGAGGCAGACACGGAGGCAGACGAGACCCAAACTATAACCGAAACATAACATATTACTCTCGACTTTGTGCAAATGTCTGAATACATTCAGTTAGTTTGGTGGACTTCCTCCGTGTTGTTTTATACTTTGATCGGGTTGTTTCCTGTTAGTGTCATGCTGTCTGCTGATTGGTGAGGAAGCGTAATAAAAGGAGGCGATTCTCTCTTTTCTTTTTTGTTGCTTCAAAGAGGTGAAATTATATCAGGACACTTCGCTGCATGTACAGTTTCCTAAATGAAAGCTCGGACCAACCCACGAACATCCCCGTTTAAATAAAGTTTAAATAATATAAAAAACTGGATATAAAATCAGACTGAGGTATGAACTCTGCTGGTGTGATAAGACGGAGGCCTGAGGAAAAATATTTAAACGCCAATCAGCTGATGATCAGATTAAAAGGAGTCGTCTTGTGATTCTTCATCGCACACAGACGCCCGGTCGCTGCCCGTCAGCGGGCGGTGAAATGGTCCACGACCACTCCAACAGTCATTTTCACATGAGAACGTTTGGTTTGAACATATGACACGTGTTCTGCTCACAGCATTAGCGTGTTCACAAACAGGACGCGCTACAGGAAGTCTGAAAACCCTCTTTTTAAAAGCTGATCACGTCTTTAATCAAACTTCAGGCGCTACGGGAGAAAGGCCATTTTAAACCGCACGCAAGCCGCAGCGGTCTCTCAGCTCCGGGTCCACACGTGTGAACAAGAAGTCAGGAAGTGGTCACCGCTGCAACACACAAGAAGACACGCACACATACACACACACGTTTAAAGCAGTCCCTCTGAGTCCAAAGTGTCCATGTTCAGTCCTAAAAGTTCCCACAAGTCATTGCTGCCTCCAGGCCAAAAGGATAAAGGTACAAAACACGAATCTGGCCTGCACGCTGTTGATCAAAACAGTCCCTCCAGACCAGATTAAAAACACTGTGACGAAGGCCACGGGAAGAAAACGTCCTGTAAGACTCCCGCGCTCCATCTGGGTGCAGCGTGATGGCTGCGGCCTCGTGGTGCGCCAGTCCGTGGCAGGGAAACATAACAAGGCAACATGCAGCAGGGGGTCAGTCCAGTCTGCCTGTCAGTCAGCGTGCGGGGCAGCATAGCGCTCTATGAGGGTGTGTGTGTCTGTGTGTGCGTGCGTGTGTGTGGGGCGTCACGTCATCAGTCTGTCCTCCACACACACCACAGCCACACATGGTCAATGAGGAAGGCTACGCTACATTTTTGGCACCTCCACAATCTTCGGCATGTGACCCCCCCACCCCAGCCCCACTAAGACCGTGATCATCATCAACACCACCTCCCCCCCCTCACCCTGCAGCTTATATGAAGGGGCCGCCAGGCATACCCAGGAAGTTGGGCGCTCTCACGGACATGGGTGGAGGCGCCGACGAGCCGCTCCAGTGCACCTTCATGTGGTGCCTCAGGTTGGACTTGGAGGAGAAGCGCTTGTCGCACTGCTGGCAGGAGAACGGCTTCTCCTTGGTGTGGATGCGGCAGTGACAGATGAGCGCAGTGGACACCCTGAAGGACTTCCCGCAGTCGGGACACTGGTAGCGTTTGGGCTCAGTGTGGATGCGCCGGTGGTTCTTCAGGGACATCAGGTTGGGGAACTCCTTCTGGCACGAGCTGCAGAAGTAGGTCCCGGTCTTGTGGCTGTTCTTGTGGTTGAGCAGGGAGCTGGCGTGGCGGTACGAGCGACCGCACTGGTCACAGACATGGGACTTGACGACCTCGCTGTTGCTCCCTTGGCCGCGGACTTTGGCCACGTTGCTGGGATTGAGTCCTTGCTCTTGCATCAGGGTGAGGTCCAGGCCTGACCCCCAGCCCAGGTCCTGGGAGCCCCCTGGGCGGGGCTGCTGGGTTCTGGGCTGGCGGGGCTGCGGTGTCTGGCCATGAGTGATCTCCATGTGGAGCCTGAAGCTAGCCTGCGTGGGAAAGGCTCGCTGGCAGGACCGGCAGGTCAGCTCCCGCTGCTTCTGGTGGACACGCCGGTGGTTGTAGAGCTGGGAGGAAACTCGAAAGGCCTTTCCGCAGTCGTGGCATCGGTGGCGCCGCGTCTCAGAGTGGATACGGCGATGGTTCTTCAGGGCAAGCAGGTTGGAGTAGGTCTTGAGGCACACGGCGCAGTGGTAGATGCCGACAGTATGGGTGTTCTTGTGGTTGAGGAGGGAGCTGGCATGGCGGTAGGAACGGCCGCACTGATCACATCTGTGCAGGGACAAACAAAGAAGAAGAGGGGTGGAGGAGAGAGGAAGGAGATTAGCAACGGAACATGCATGTCCGATTTCAATGCTGTAGCCAAATTCATCTGGTTACCACTTTTTCTGGAGAAGTATTTCAAGTATTTTTACTAGTCATCATCTAGGATGTTGCACATACAGGTATATGATCTGAAATCCGGCTCAAAGCTTTCAAAGAAACCTACAAAGTGGTGTACCATTAATGATTTCTACACAGGTCATAGGGGAGAGGACTGCTGGGTGGGTGGGTGAGGGAGGGAGGGACATGGGAGACACTATGGAGAAACAAGTGTAGGGAACTGGAAGGTATCTGCTGCTCCCTGCACTGCACAAATAAAACAACCGTCTGTCTCAGCCTTCTTTGGATACTGAGTGTAGTGATGAGAAACCATCAAACATGCCCAAAGAACCACTACCATGTATCAAGACTCCTGTAGGTGTTAAGACTGGTGACCTGTGGACATGTGCAGTGCAGCTAGCTCCAAATACTTCCTAATCTTCCCTTTCAGAACATCAAAATGCAACAGCCCCATCACATAACTGCAGTTTCTAATCTATTAGCTAACCAGTGTCAGAATAAACACAAAGACTGCAATCAAAATCAGAACAGAAGCAAGGAACACACAACATCAACACTTCAATATGCTGCACACAAAATACTACTTAAAGAGTTCGTAAAAAACAAAGCATGTAAACAGTACATCTGAACATGACATGTTTGACTGAGGCTAGCCTAAAAATGTCTGATATATGCTAACTGTAAGCAAACGGGGTTGACTTATCTGGTCTCTCCACTAATTCAATTTGTCCAAACTTCAGAAAAATCCGAATTCCGGCACGCGTATGGTCCCAAGGAAGCCGGATTGGAGATCATATACCTGTAATAGACATGTAGAGACCTAAATTTATCTTCACTATTTGTTTGTTTCAACTTCGAAGAATCACAAACAACTGACGAGAACTCACGTGTACCGACACTCTTCGCCCTCTCCCGTGGGTGCAGTGGCCTTCCTCCTGACTTCCATGCCTACCTGGTTGTCCCCGCAGCGGTGCCTGGCCAGACCGGACCTCCCCTGGAAACTCTTCCCACAGGTGGGGCAGCCAAACGGGGTGGCACCTTCCTCGTGGACTTTCTGGTGGTTGCGGAGGAACCGGGCCAGTCGGAAGGCTTTCCCACATGTGTGGCAGATGTGCTTCTTCCGCTGCGTGTGGATGCGCATGTGGTTGCGTAGAGCCATGTAGTTGGTATAGGGCTTGTCGCAGAAGTTGCACCTGAAGTTTCCGGTCTTGTGGGTGTGCTTGTGGTTCAACAGGGAGCTGGCGTGTTTGTAGGCGCAGCTGCATAGGTCGCAGGCATAGGGCCTCTCATCAGAGTCCATGTCTACCGAGTTCTTCTCGGTACTGATGGTTGTCGAGGTGTTGGTGGAGGACGATGAAGGCAGGTGCTGGGCTGGACAGTCATGAGCCGCGAGCTCGTCAGCTGTGGCAAAGCCTTCGCAGCAGCCGTCGCACTCGAAATCCATCTGAGCGCCAGGGCCTTGTGGGCCTTTGCACAGGCCGGCTGTAGTGTGGGTAGCGAGCTGCCTTTGGGTGCGGAAGCCCTTGCCACACTCTTGGCAGTTGTGCTTCTTTTGGGCAAAATGGAGACGAAGGTGGTTTTTCATTGCCAGCCTGTTCGGATATGTAGAGTTGCAAACATTGCAGTGGTACTCTCCAATTTTGTGAAGGTTCTTGTGATTGGCCAGGCTGCCCGCATGGCGGTAAGTCTTTCCACATTCTTCACAGGCAAACGGCCGCCGTGCACTTTCGGCAGGATCAAACTTCTGGGGTCTGGAAGTACCGGCTGACGAGTAGGGCTTTTTGAACCCTTGGTGGCTGTATTTGACCCCCATCACCTGGCCCTTCGATGGCTCCCCCCTCATAGTCTGCATTTGAGATGGGTCAGGCTGCTGGAAGCGGGAACCATTTGGGCCGGTCCGAACAAGGCCTTTGGCTCGGTGTTCTTCATGGAGACGGAGATGGTTGATCAATTGCTTTTGGATCTTGAAGGCTTTGCCACATTCTTCACACTTGTGCCTGTAGCAAAAATAGGCAAAGGTAAAGAAAAAAAAAACAAAAAAAAACAGCAAAATCTCTTTCAGTACATTTCAAAAGCAAAATGACACTTTGTAGGGATTTCTAGGGTGGCCTAAGTCAGATTCTTCATAAGGTTAGCAGTTCTCAGTAGTTTTACCAGCCTCAGACCCCTACCTACTTTGGCAACAATTCTCCTGTACTTCAAAGTTTAGATGAAAACCAATGAAAATGTTATCCACAAATCTTGCCAACTAAACTCAAAAAACTCACTTTGACAGAATGAGACCTTTATTAGCCAAACAGTTTTAATTTGTCACATGCCTCAAATTGGTGCTCAGTACCTATAACTGTAAAGTAGCTACAAAATTTACATAAAAATAAACAAAACATTATTAACATCTTTACTTTATTTACAAAACAAGAGTAACATGATAATTTTGGAGTTGACCTCCAGTAGGCACTACCATTAACTGTTTCTAATGTTAACTTTTTAAAGAATTTGTTGAGAGACATTCGAAACTGGCAGAAGGCCTACCTCTTTAAGTCAAAGTGGGTCCTTTGGTGATTCTTGAGAGCCAGCAGGTTGTAGTAACGTTTTTGGCAGACAAGGCAACGGAAAACACCGGTCTTGTGGGACTTCTTGTGGTTAAGGAGAGAGCATGGATGTCTGTATCCTCGCCCACATTGGTCACACTTGTGGGGCTTGTCACTCTGATCAACCATTGGCCTACGTCCATCTGCGCCAACGTCACAACTTCTTCCAGCGACACCACCGCCAACGCCCTCTCCTCCAGACATCCCTTTGGCTCCATTTAGGCCGGGCTTGTTCATCGAGTTACCTCGATTCTTCCCAGGGCACAGGTGGGTGATCAGATGGTGGCGATCGGCGAAAAACATGCCACAGTCAACACAAATGTGGCTCCGGCCATCCATCTTTTCGTTGCCGTTGGCAGAACTCCCTGCAATACCCTGTTGCTGACCATCTGGCCTTTGGGGCCCATGGATTAACTGATGATTCAGGAGATCCTGCTTTCTGGCAAAAGTCTGGCCACAGGTACAGCAGATCATCCTCCAGTCCTGCTGCAGGTTGGAGGGTCCTGGCCCTGTGGGGTTGTTGGCATGACTACGCAGGTGACTTCTGAGAGCTCTCAAACTAGCATAGTGGTTGCCACAAACTGAGCACTGATACACCTCTCCATCATCATCGTCCTCTTTGTCATTGCTTCCCATTCTCTTGCCTCCACTTTGAGGATACTGCCGTTGACTGCCGCCTTCTTTCAGGCTGCTGGAGCTTCCAGCAGGCAGCGAGGTTCCACTGGAGCTATGGTAGTTCATATTCCCCATAAAACCATTGGACATAGTGGCCTGCTGCTGCTGCTGGCCACGGCGGGGACACATGTGCGACTTGATGCCAGACACATCGCCATACATCTCACCGCAGTCGGCACATACGTGTCTGTCGGCTTGCCGGTGAGCAGAGCTGCTCTGGGAGAGTGAGCTGCCATCAAAGCGATCATGGAACTCAAGAGAGTCTAGCCCACTGCTGTGGCCTCCGTCTGGTACAAAGTGGGCAGCTTCGCCGAGATTTCCTGGCAGGGAGATTGGAGTGGTGGCACCACTACCTTCCTGGACGTAGCTCTGCTGCGAGTCCAGAGTCAGGGGCTCTGGGGATAGCCAGTCGTTGCTGTCATTGTTAATAGGCTGATTGGAAGGACGACCCTTGTGGCTTCGTAGGTGGCTATGTAGTGCTGCCAGGTGAGGGTACTGCTTACAGCAGATGGTGCACTGGTAGTGGCCCGTTTGGTGGCAGCGTTTGTGGTTGACCAGGCTTCCTGCATGCCGGTAACTTTTGCCACACTCCCCACACTTAAAGCGCCGCTCTTCATCATCTGGAGAATTAGCCTGGGGCACACGACCTCCTGACGGGGAGGCCACCGAGCTCTGGGATCCAGAACTTAGAGTCTCCGAGTTGAGGATGGAGCTGTCCTGACTATGGGAGGGAGGGTGGGGATCATGAGTTAGATAATGGACTTTCAGTGTCTCCAGATCTGGGTGTCCGGCGCCACAGTATGCACATGTATAGATGGGGTTGTTGACTGGAGGGCCCATAATGGGGTCATAGGGGCCCCTCTTCTCAGTCGGCACTGGTGGCAGAGGCAGAGGCAGAGGGTCCCCCAGCGCCGGCGTGTATGCCGGGGATCGGACAGCACTCAGATTATGAGGCATGATGCCTGGAAAACTCCGTGGCAGGCTGAGGGTAGGTGAAGCAGTGTTGTGCAGCAGAATGTGTTCTTGGAAATCTGCCTTATTTGGCAGCGCTACCTGGCAGAGGTGGCAGAAACAGGCGGTGGTGTCTTCACTTTGAGACGACTGAGTGCCAGTGCTGCGCTCCGAGTCGTGGAGGCTGCTGCTGCTACTGCTGCTGCTCACCATTGAGGCCCCAGGGGTCTTGAACTTCGAGTGAGTTCTCTCGTGGCTGTTTAAGGCAGCCAGGTTGCCAAATTGTTTGAAACACACAGAGCACTTAAACGTTCCTTGTTGGTGACACTTCTTGTGGTTCACCAGGCTACCGTGGTGTCGGTAAGTTCTGTCACACTGATCACACTTGAAAGGTCTGTCCCAAGCGTCGTCGGATTCAGGGGAGCCTTTTTTTCCGTGTTCGTCTGTCTCGTGGCTTTGCAGGACACTATGTCCCATACCACTATTGTTCAAATGGGAGCGCCCAAACCCGTCCGAGAGGTCCTGGGTGAGACCGTAGTCCCTCTCGTCGTGGCCGGCTTCTTCGGGCACTTCCTCGCTTTCTTCCTCTGTGTGTGCACTACTAGGGGATAAAGTATGGATCCGTAAGTGATTTTTCAAAGCTACTGCGTTGGGCAGCGTACGTGTACAAACAGGACACTGGAATGATCCAACTTCGTGAGATTTTTTATGATTGGCTAGACTAGCTGCGTGTTTATAAATTCGTCCACACTGTTCACACTCAAAACGACCGGTCTCTTCTTGCTGATAATGTGCTTTCATATGTTCTAGAAGACTTGGAGTACTCGGGCAAACCATATCACATTCTTTACAGGGGAAACCCTTGGCACGACTCATATCATGCATTGCCATAGTACTCTAAAGCAAATCGTTTGGAGGGAATCACGGTTCACAACAGAGCAATGAACAGTGATGTTGAGGAGGTGGGGGAGGAAACGGTAGGGCTTAGCTCTTTAGCTGAGGGCAGCAGTGGAGCCCATTTTCTCCCTGGGAGCCGTCAGCGCAGGTCAATCAGGACCCACCCCGGGAGGTGGCGGGCCTGCGGGGGTCACACCGGCCAATGAGGTATCACTATGGAGAAACAAAAGAAGAAGAAGAAGAAAACAGGTTACTCAAAGACCTACTTATCTTTTTTTTTTTTTTAAATCTCGAAGTTCAGTCCAGGTCCCTCAGTTTAAGTTTCAGCTATTTGCTTTTGATTATAACAGAATCTCAAAATCACTGGGATGTTCAGGAAAGCCCTACAAAGATCATCTAATATAAATAGTTTGGTCCTAGGTTCTGTTATCATTTTAATTTTCTTTATTATGCTTTTGCATCACAAATTATATAGATGGATATAAAAATTGTGGATGGTGATCTTAAGGATCAGCAATAGTCCGAGTGATCACTAGCAGCTTGCTAACCACAACAATTAAGTAGCACCGTTGCACAAGCATCAGCTGTAGCTTTAATAAAGTGTCAGACCAAACATTTCAAATTAGTTTAACTGGAAAACTCTAGAAACAAAATATCATTTTTTATTATACCAATAAATGTCAGAAAAAAATAAGGCAGTGGGTAAGTGCTTTAAATCTTCATGTTATCTGAAGGCCATCAGACAGCGATACCTGTGGTTGCAAAAACATTTCCCATCTTATGGAAACTAATTTCTTAGCTGATCTCTAAAAATGTCTTGTAGTTCATGGTCTCAGTTGTTTTGGGTCATACTCAGGGCTCGCAAAATCGCTAGCCCGACATCCCGCAGCTAGCGATATCTCCGGTTGGGTGACCAAAATCTATCTCAGCCCCGCCCGTTGGGCTATATGATAACCGATGGGCGGGGCTGAGATAGATTTTGGTCGCCCGACCGGAGATATCGCTAGCTGCGGGACGTCGGGCTAGCGATTTTGCGAACCCTGATACTGTTCAAAAGTGACTTTTGGACAGGACGATCCGACTTGTGAATGGATCGGCCCTACTGGTGTCTGGCCGTACGGCATACCGCTGAGCTAAACCGGCGCCCAGAACTAAAAGACTTTAAACCAGTTCAGTCGTCTTATTATGCCGATTCCCTTGTTCCTAGCACATGACGCTCAATAACAAAACAAAATGAAAATTTATTAAAATTAAAAACAAAATCAGTGATCACCACAACTGACCACCGAAAACCCCCAAAACCTGACAGAAAATAGTCACATCGGACTGGGGCGGGCCTCAAATTATCCTTGAACCAAAGAACAGGGTTCGGTTTAAGACTCCACACATGGGCACACCTTTGTTTACCGTTTAAATAGCCTCACTCTCTCACCCTCCCCCGTCCACGGTCAGGTAAACCTGATCCAGTCCTAGTCGCCACGGCAGGGTGAGAGCAGAAAACCACCCGATCTGCACGATGATAACGGAGCAGCAGGCCAAACTTTAGGAAACACGTCAGGTGTAATTCAACCTCCTGATTTATTTGAATGTGACAACTTGTTAAAAACTTGTGTATCCCCTCCAATGTGTGAGGCCACGCAACTCCATTTATATTTTAAGAGAAATATTCCGAAACTATTTTGATATTTAAAACATCAATTTCCAGTTTGAAAAATGTCCTGCTTTTCCGTGTCAGTAATGGTTGGATCACTTTTATGTTCTGAGAAGGGAAAAAATGTAAAAGATTATTTTTCACTCATTAGACACAACAGTTTGATTAAAATCTGCCTCGATCAAATAGTTTGTGTTTTCTGTAAGGACCCCGGTGGGATGCAGTCTAACCAACCAGAGACCGAACCTCTAAAGTCCAGATTAGTTGGACTTTACACGTATGACTGAAAAACCAGAATATCAGTGATGCAGGACCTGATCCGCCTCACTGTGCATTGCACTGCCTATGAAACTACAAACAGGACCCCTGCATTGAGCACAACGTGAGTAAATACCCACAAATAATCACTGTTGTTTGGATTAAATTCAGACCCATCATGCAGGAGGAGTGAATTTTGTGAAATATGGATGGATGGCAGCATGGCACTCACTCAATGCTTCTTTGGCCAAGTGTGAGAAGAAAATGAGACACTTAAAGAGGACAAGCTCAGCCGGTTAACCCTTTAAAGCCGGTCAGAGCGGGCATGCTCGGTTTTGCGCAACTACTTTTAAATCCCTGTAGAAC